TCATCATTTTTTAGTATAGCCTATTGTGCTGTGCAGGCCATTTACGTGCGTTCTTTCGCATTACTAAAAAGAATTCATTGCTTTGTTTTTGTTACTGGCATACATCATCAATATCGGAGAAATTTTCAAGTTTTTGTGGACTTCTATGCTATTGTTTACATGTATGTGTGTAGTATACCAGAGAAGTCTGACTCTGAGACTTGTGAGGTTAAGTTGACACTCAAGCAGGTAATACATTTTCAGGTATAAAATGTGAGATGATAAAAGATAATATTGAATTAATTATACATCATTTGCTTATATTGCATGTACTACTGTATGATGTATGTAACAGAAAAATATAACTGTTGAACATTTCTTTCTAGTTGTTAGCAAGTTATCTTTAGGATATGTAATGTTTCTGAAGGGTTGCCACAAAACCACCCATAGGTCTTGTCTGCTCTCTAGATGGCAACCGTACAAAGACCAAAATGATAATACTGTGACCCTTGATTTGGTTATGTAATGCAGGATGTCAAAGTCTGATTTGATATGTAAAAATTTGCTGAAGCTTTTGTCAAATGTTTGGTTGCTCACTGCTCAGTGGTTACAGCCTGTACATTGGAAATGGCATGTAATGGATGACCCTTTGGACATAACTCAATGTGTAAATTACATTACTATCATCTGCAACATGGCCACATCTGATTCTCACCACAGGATTATGTTAATGTGATTTGGATTGACAATCCTTGTTGCTTATGTAATATCCCTACAGCGCTTCTTGCCAGTGTTATCTTAAGGGTATGCATGATTTACGAGCCCCTTTCAGGTGAAACAATAGAGCCGTGCGCGCCATGTGGTGTAACTCTGTGACTACATGTACTAGTATGTAGGACAGTCTACTCACAGTACAAGATGATTTTTTGATGTTTCATTGAGAAGTGACGAAAATTTTGTTCCCCCTTGAAGAATTTTCTGCAAATACCTGCTTTGTTACACTGCGATTGTTATTGTTGCAAACCTGTTTTTTTTTAATGCCAGGGATTGTTGGTACTGATAAAGGAAGTCCCAGGACAAAGCCAAAGTCAACAGGTATCCACATTAAAGAGAGCCAGTTCTAGAGGCCAGGGGTTTACCACTAGACTGGTGTCAAGCAACTGACATACCTCTGATACTAGCCATTGTTTTAATGACTGTCTGATTCATATGAATAAGTATAGTCAAACATACATTTAAATCCCAATGATTGGCATATCGATTTCTTGATAATACAGATACTGTAGCACTACAAAATTATCTCCAAACCTCATGCCACCAGATTTCTGTACATTCATTCTCATTAAGCAAATAGAGTTGAGGACCATTTCCGAGGATTTACTACGTACAATGTATGTTTGTTAATGTTTATACTTTTTATAGTCAGTTTAAAGTCGGCATATCAGAAGCACTGATCAGAGTCAGATAAGTCCAGGCTGAGTGTGTTTACAGAACAATGATTTATTATGTTGTAATGCATGTGAAACAAAAGGTGCTATAGGCATGTTGACAATTTACACTGCCTTGTACTAATATATTATATTTGTGGTTGAAAGAGATAAGAACAATTTTAGATTGCTTTCTTCAGAAAGCCCTTTTTAAGCAAATTCTGAAAGCATGTTCAGCACATATGTTAAGACTTTGACATTTGGAACTTAAGTTATTGGTCACTTTGATCAAGAAGCCAAGTGGATCATGACTGAATATAGACAGACTCTATATGAACACACCTGAACAAATTTGGTCCCCAAACTAGGTTAACTATATAGGTTTATGATTGTACATTGAATGTAAGTAGACACAGAAATGTGTCTGACCCACAGGACTGCACCATATTGATGCTTTTTAAAACTACTACATACCTGGTTCTGAAAGTTCTTGAATAATTTTCCTCATTGTTGGACAAGCACTAACTAGATTTTAGTGGTAACAGCTATCAATACTACAAAGACTGTTCACCATCAAAAGCTTAGATGAAGATTCTATTCCTGAATTTGGAAAATACACTTTGACTTTAGTTATTTTGATGAGCAGGAGGTCCCTTGTTGTTACAGTGACTGGTTTTGGCTGAGGTCCATGGCAATTATTTTGAAGTAATTCACAGGAATGATAACAAGGACCTTCCGGTATTTGCTGGAATTACAATGACACAGCATGACCAAGGGAGATAGCATATTTGTGCAGAGGGAACAGGGAAGCTAAGAAGGATGATGTGATGATTGCTAAGGTTTTGGCTTATCTTATTGTTATCGTATGAATTTGAATAGCTTTAAACAATGTCTAGAGCTAGAAGTTCAAGGGTTAGGTGTAACAAGTCGATCGGTGTAATATAGCCAGCTGCCGCCGCGCCGCGTGCCTGCGGAGCTGGTGTGTTACGCCGAAAGGCGGTTATACCAGCTATACAGATACAGATACAGAATTCAACTTCAGTGAAACATTTTTATTGAATATTATTTTAACTACCTGTGAGTCTTTCTAGAAGTGAATAAAAAAATAATTGAGATAAGTACGAGGTCCTAGTGCTGTTGCCTTTTTTGCTGTAAAATCTGATAATAAATGATATGATTATCATGGAACTTATTTGTATTATTACATAACAGCTATTTTCCCTGCTTTATAGTACCTGTATTATATATGGTAACAATGGTAAAGATAGATAAAGAAAAGCATACAAGCATGGCATTTCAAAGGAAGAGATGTGTAGTGCTAGCATTCTGTAGCTATGGAAACAGAATAACAAAAGTTCTTTTGTTTTTCCAGGTGAAGCTCTAAATCTACCCACATACTAGGAGCTAAACCCATGTGTCAACATGGAACTGTGAAAGACAGCACTGGTTCAATCTAAAGGATTCCAAGCTTACAATATGCCAGAGTTTCCCGGAAACAAGGATCGCTCGTATTTAACGATGGATGGTGCGCCGACGAGGAACGGGCGGATCCCGCGCTCGCCGCCTCTCCATCAGCACAGTCAGATGAGCCTCATCTCAGACTCCAGCACTCCGGGGGAACGCACGCCCATCAAGAAGGCCTCCATGACGTCATCGGAGGCTGTGGTACGGCGGCGCTGGCCACGGTTCGTCAGCAAGGACGGGATCTGCAACTACAGGAACCACCACGTTCCCCTGCACAAGAGAAGGTACATTCGGGACTTTTTCACCACCCTGGTGGACCTGAGGTGGAGGTACACGTTCCTCTCCTTCTCTGCTGCATTCGTCTTGAGCTGGTTCTTATTTGGAATCGTGTGGTACATTGTAAGCTTAGTGCATGGAGACTTTGCCCATGAAGTTGGCGACCCTGACTTCCAACCATGTGTTAGCGAGATGAGGGACTTCACATCCTCCTTTCTCTTCTCACTGGAGACACAGACAACAATCGGCTATGGTTCTCGCCACGCCCGAGACAACTGTGGCTTTGGTGCCTTCCTCGTAGCTTTTCAGTCCGTCGTGGGACTCATCATCGACACATTGATGATTGGCGTCTTCCTCACAAAGCTTGCCAGGCCAAAGAAACGTGCGCACACTCTGCTCTTTAGCGAGCAAGCTTGTATCGCTAACCGGGATGGTAAACTCTCGCTCATGTTCCGTGTTGCTGACATTCGTAAGAGTCACATCGTAGAAGCTCATGTCCGCGTCTTTGTGGTCCGACACCACAGAAAAACAATAGAAGGTGAGGAACTGTATTTGAACTTCGAAGATGTCAATGTTGGGTTCGACAAAGGTACGGACCGTGTCTTTCTCATCACTCCAGTTACAGTTGTTCACGAAATTGATAAGGAAAGTCCGTTCTATGATGTCTCCGAAGACAGCCTGGCAAAGGAAGACTTTGAAGTAGTTGTGCTGTTTGAGGGTATCTTAGAAAGTAGCAGCTACACGCTTCAGGCCAGGACCTCCTACCTGGCAGACGAGGTTCTGTGGGGTTATCACTTCGACAACATGGTGTCCTGCTCAGAGTACGGTTACGAGGTGGACTACAAAAAGTTTAACAAGACACACCCGGTCCCCACCCACGAGTACAGTGCACGCATCATTGATGCACACCGATCGTCCCTGTCCCTAGACAGAGACGTGGACAACAACAGGCAGTGTAAGACCAACATAGACAGGACGGTGGATGAAGATGATGACAGAGGAATGGACCCTAAAAGACTGTCCATGGCGCTGGCATATGAAAATGAGGTGCACACAATGGTCTGCAGCAATGACGAGTGGGGACAAGGTGATCATGTCACAGCTAAGAATGGACAAAAGGTGACCTGCACGAAGCTGTGATGAAGGCAACACAAGTGAAGGTAGGCTGTCTCTTAATTCTACATACACATGTATCTGTGCAAGTATGGTTCTGTGACCATGAGTATATAAATTGTATGCTCTAAGAGTTTATATTCAGTGTTCCAATTTTTTAATAAGCCCAGTAGGAGACAATAAAGAATATGTACATTGGCAATGGATTCAGAAAAAAGCTATCCATGCCACTTCCTAGGAACCTATATCATAGTATTATGATTGTTTATTTTATCCGACACATTGGAATGGCTTCTACATGTACACTTACACTTCTGTATGTCCTTAATGTGAGCACTTTGGAAAATGGCTGCATCTACATGCACATCACACATACTCAGAAAACAGGATTTGTTCCATTGTCATACTACACCTTACTTCCTCCTGGGCTTAGAAGTCACAGGTGGTCTACTGAAAGCAAACGTTACTGGTCTTAACTTTTCCCAACCTTTGGAATTTACAGATTGTAAGTTATACCCTGCAGCGTACAATTACTTTACTGCCTGAACTGTTCAAACAGTTCACAGGGCGAGACACGTGCAATGTTCAACTGTAAGTGTAAGGACATTCCTAATATAGCTGCAAGGAACAGTACCTATCAGTCATTGAAATTGGATGGCAAGCCATCATGTACATTGTAGACCTTTGTACCATTTCATGGCTATGGCAATTCTCTTAAAGGTGAAGGTAAGATTTGCATGGTGGCTGTTCTGTACAATGTCAACACACAGTATCTTGACATCAATGTCGCCTGTGGACAAGGGCTGGTCATAAATACCTGAATACCTCAGATAATAGCAACAAATCACTTCTCACAGTACCAGAGGTGCTATTCTTCAAGGTTAAAGAGAAAACACTTCAATTCAAATGTTGTAGAATTGCCTAAACATTACACTTTTTTGAAGGACAGGATGTACAGAGAAATGTGATATCAGGTACAAGCAGTCTCGAGTTGCAAGAAACAGTTAACAGCATTGTCCTGTATTCCCAGAATTCAGGAATTCATCCATAGAATGCACCTATCCTTTTTATTGTCTAAACCTTTCTGAGGAAAAGGTAGTACAAAGAAGTAGAAGTTAGACATCCAGGTAATACGATTGTCAGAATCAGAAAACCAAGCAAGGTGTAAGCAGTCACAAGTTACTTGAAATGTAGGTAAGGATATTGTTTGGACAGGTGACTAACTGAAGGATAAAATACAGCACAGACAAAGAAGCTAATGAAGCAGAAAGAAGCTAATGTCAGAATGTCACTGACCAAACTTTTAAAAACTTTGACATCGTGATAGGAAGTGTGCCCGTGGCATGTTGATCCAGTAGAGTCAATAGGTAAAACATCTACCAGGTAAACCATAAGCCATATGCCAAGGACAGCATGTAAACTTGTCGTTGCTGGTTTATGCAAGTTTACGACTTTTTGTTTTATTAGGGACTCATCAAAAATTGATAAGGAGATACTGAAAAAAATTAGAAATTCATGGTTAACAGCCTGTTTTGATAATTTTGTATAAATATGTATACGTTTTGTAGTCAATAGTAGAGGGACACTGAGTAGATATGGATACAGTTGTGTATATTAAATTAAATCAAGAAATTATTTTTTGAGAATAAATTTTGTAATTTTGAGCAATGCAAGACACACCACACTAGCTATTTTGCGCCACCATTGCTTCTTGCTGCCAGTCGTGAAGCCTACTTCTAATTAGCCCCATCTCCTGAACTATTGAATATGATTTGTTTATTCATGCCACTGTTCATTCTTTTTTATTCTTCAATGTTGCTGGAGTCTAATGAACAAAGATTGATACATTCCGACAAGGCCAGGTAACACTGCTCTGCTGCACAGAAAGACGTTGTGTACAGTGGCTGTTTGTTGTTCTGCTAGAACTAAATCTGCTTCACTGACTGGACTTCCACCGTACAGTGACACTTTCAGGACAAGTCAACCAGGTGACAGTCTCCCCTGGTGTGTGGCCGAGTCTATAACGGCAATTCTTCCTGCTATCTTCAATATTCCATGAAAGATATGCTTGACAGCTTCTCTATCATGTCATATTGCAAAACAAGTTTGTTCTTGTAATGGTTATACAAGCCTAAAGAGAGTACAAGTCAAATTGGAATGCGACCTTCAATCAAAGTTCCTGCTGTGTCAAATGTGTGTGCGTAGTGACATGGGTCCATTCGTTTTGTACATCTGCTTTGTTAGGACGTAGGTAAAGGTAGACACTGGCTATAGAAGAGGGGAGGACAGAGTTGCAAGGCATGTTTACCTTTGGTAAGGTTAGCAGACAAGGCATGTTTGCCAAGACTATGGGAGCCAGATTTCTCCTTGTTGAACATCCAACCATACTGTGTAAAGTCATGCATTCCAACAAAACAGCAATGTATGAAAATATATGAAAATATCAGACAAATATGAAAATATATGAAAACATCAGACAAAGGCTATGAAGTTCCTAATTGTTTATAGTAGTTCCTGAAGAAATTTTCTATGAGGTAATGACTTGTCCTCCCATCCTTTCCAAGAAGCTGCACACTCAAGTTATGTTACTGTTTATGGAAAATTACCCATGTCTATGTAATGCCAATAGAAATTTTAGATTGCTGCTATGTCCCATGGGATACTGCCAATCATGAAATTCAAAAGGTCAACAGACTGATTTGATTATGGTAGTAAATAATGAAATGGGTAGAACAGTGTTCTGGCCTGTGTTTTTGTCTTTCAATCATTGAACGGAATATTTCATGTCATGACAGACAAAAATTTCTCAATCCACCATCTTTGATGGACATAGATCAGTATGTAAAGATATGGAAAGAGATGTCAATAGACTAAGTTTAGTCTCCCAGCAAATTTTGCCCCTCAAATGCAGGAAATATAATTTCAGAGGGTCAAGAATTAACAATTTTCCCAGGGGAGCACCCCCCACCATTGTCACATAGAGGGGTGGGGGGCTTCAGCAGTGTGCAATACATTGTATGATTGATATTTGTTACATCAAACAAAATTTAGATGAAAGAAAAAAAATCAGGTTGCCTAGAACACGGGGGTAGAATGGAACTGGCTGCACCTGGCAGTGGTCCAAAATTACAGTATTCAAGCTAATTCTGGGGGAAACTGTTTCCAATCAATTGTCCAGGTGGAAATTTGTAACATTTTATCACTGCAGGACTTCCTAGACATTCATCCATCCCTTCATCATTATTATATCATCCACCCTAAAGAAGTCAAAATGTTACGATTTTACATCATAAAATCTACTTGGAGTTAACTGGTACAGCAGTATTTCTGACTGCTCGTTATCTTACAATCAGTCAGAAGAACTTTAGGAGATGTAGAGCAGTTACATTTATCCAACATGCTTTATGACTTTCACTGCTAAGGCCTGGCTGAATATTGTATTTTACTGGTAGATTCCAAACAGTAAAACTTATTGTGTGTCTATTATGTCCTATGATGGCAAAATTCCCATTAATCAAGAGCGTGGAAATGGCGTCAGGCACTGCTATAATAAGAGTAAAGATAAAGGTTATCAGTTGAAGGATTACAGACCTCAGTGTTGAAAAACTGCCGTTGATGATAACATAAAGCAGGCATCTGGTGTACAACTGTGTGAAACATGATGGGAACAGGGTCAGATGGATGATCACTTGCCTCAAATAGACATAAAGACATAATGTCTCCTTTGAAATGGATAGAAATATAGAAATTTACCCTACCAAAATATTAAATGATTAATTTATTACATATAGAAATAATTATAACAGAATTATGGTTTTGAACCATCATCAGCATTTGACAGCAAATAAGTGTAAAAGCTTCTATACTGTATCTTAGGGGTAACCTCTACAAGCGGTACAATGATGGGCAGTCAAGGTCTAGTAGTGAGCAATCCCATTTCTGTACCAGAAGGTAGGGCAAATATGTGTAGGTTATGATTCCGGCCTATTTCCTCCTGTTATCATACTACTGGCAATGGCATAGACACCACAGTCCTAACAGGGTATGTTGAGACAGGCAGGAGATGCCCAAGACAGCACAGTGATGGAAAGTGAAGATGTCCAGAATTGAAGGAAAAAAGATACCGTGAATCCTTGCACAGAAGACCAGAATGGAGAGCTGCCAAACTTTCCTACATGTTATTGTTAAACAAAATGAAGGTTGAGCTATGGCTCTTGTTTAAAACTAAAAGTATCTTTTTTCAACGTCCTTTTCTCTTCCATGAATGAGCCCTAACCCGTTGTTGACTTTTGCATGATTTATATGTACCTGTAGTCAGGTAATGTGATCCACAGGCCTGGCAAACCTCATCAGCATGTACAGGTAATTTCCCTCACCTGTGTGTTCACAGCCTGGGCCTGCTACAGCTTCCATAGGCAAACACAGCAGGGGAAACACAAACACTACTCCAAGTGTTATATGACTGCTTATGAGGTTTATTCTACTCTTGAACTTTGACAACTTCGTACAACCTGATCTTATATTCATTCATTTGTTCTGTCATATTTCCTATTTGCATATATGTCAGCATGATCAAAATGGCACCTGATCATATTACATGTCTGACATTCAGTCTGGAATATGATTACTCCTGGCATATCTACATATCATAATTTGGCATTTCACAACTGCAGACTGCTACATAATTTAGCAGTTAAAATGTCGGCAGATATGGCATGGAGCCAACTTTATGGACTGTTAAACACTGCTAGGCAGCATTTAATATTGTGGGAATAAATCATGGCAAATGTGCTGATTGCACCACCCTCTAATGTTGCCAAAGGATAAGATGGAAACATTATCCATAGTGTACTATGCTGGAATGTTAGTCCTCATCTGTCTTATATGTAGTGTTATGTACAAATGTATGTTTTGTGCAGTGCGTTCAGTAAATGTGCTGTGTTTTATGCATGAGGCTTTAACGTATATAGTGACGCCAAAGTATGATTCATTGAATATGTTGATTGGACTGTTTTGTACGTTTAAAGTAGATTTGATCACACATTCT